TATTGCCACAGTTACTAAAGAAAAGTTCACTATACCTTAATTCAAAATTGCAATTTATTTGCATTTGGTGGAACTTTACTAATGGATATAACCCCTATAAGTAACATTTTATTATTATACATATTAAAATTCAAACAAATAATTCATAATTCAAAAATATATAATTCGATAGGAGATAGATTACAGAAAGATAATTCTGCTAAAAATTGTAGAATTAATTTCTTCTAAGGAATGAAATGTATTCTCGAGATTAATAATTGCTGTAATACACGAAGACCATTGCGGAAAAAAGGAATTATCGTAAAGTTGGAGCGGTAGTAGTAGTCTGATTATTATAGTAAACTCCTTTGTATATGATATAAACATGGGAAAATTATATTTCGTAAACACTCCTTAAGCAGGAATTTGCATAATGACATTGATGAGAATTAGTCGATTTCTTCGTGCATTAAAATGTTATGCTTTTATACGAATCAAATAGAAAACAGAAAATTAAATTCCACTTCTTCAAGGTTATTATTTCCTTAAAATTGAAATAAACAATGAATCGTAGTCAAAAATTACAAAAACGATTTCAATTTCAAATTTTTGCATAACCAAAAAACAATGCAGGATAATAGAACTATCAATAGTTGAAAACATTGTCGTAATGCCTTATGTTTTACAGTAGAAGAATAAAAATTCGCAAGTTTTTCAAATCTTGAAGCAGTTAAAAAGTTTTGAGCAGCTGATGGGTTTGTGTCTAACAGACAACTGTAAAAATCAATAAATAGCAAATGTTGGAGAACAAAACTGGAAAATAATTTCCAAAAAAAGTGGATTAAATTGTCAATCTGTCTTCTGATTTTTACATCAATTATCTTTCGTTAAGAGAATATCCAAGGAAATACGATTTTAGCAATAATTAATAATGAATTACTTCAATTTACTATTATTCAAATTAAATAGAGGTTGACATATTTTTCTTTTTGTAAAGGATAAATGTAATTAATCTTATCACTTAGCTATTACCGTGGAACACTTTTCTAAAATATTGGTTAGTGATCACTTTGATATAACATGAAAAGACTGAATGATGTTTACCATGAGAGTCAGAGAAATAAACGAACATAGATGCAGTTTATGAGATATGCAAATGGTTTGCCGATTCTAAAAAACAAGTATTTCGTCAGTGGTCTATAATAAAGATTGCTTCAAGAAAATAGTATGAAGGATGGAATAATTCAAAAGAAATTCAATAAAGCCTGTCCATTTCGTTTCTAAAAGAAAGTTTTTTGGCGCCCGTCAACCGAAAGATTTCCTAAATTATGTTTGCGAAGCGCTGATTTAGAGCAACAAGGCAGTTGCGCATGAAATATAAGGAAAATGTAATACACCGCACAATACATAGCATATGATACAGCATAATACATAATTCAAATGACTCTTTGCATCAACCATTTCCATCGTAGATCGTATGAAATGACACATAATTCGAATTAAAGAACAAATGAAGAATGCTTCTTTGATGCAAAATTCAGATGCATAGAGATAAATATCAGAATAAGAAGCATAGAAATCAGCAAATCGCTTTTCAATAACACTGTCATGTTTGAATGAAACATGATGATTTCTGCTTCGTTGAATGTTCCATTTGGAGAAACTTTTCTTCTATCTTGTGCTCCTTTCAGTTTCCTTCCATTCTTATGAACTGTTACATTTCATATCAGCTTACTTTAATGTCCATAAAAAATAGAATTCGGTTTTGCTCATATCCAAGTTTTAACGAAATCTTTAAGAAAACAATGAATATATATTGATTGGAATCACGTTAACACAGAATTAACATGAATGAAAATAATGAAATAAGAATTATAAACATTTTATGAGATATATACAAGATTCCACTTAAGCCTTACTTCGCTGTCTTTTGTTTCTCGAATTAATGGAGCTAAATATTCCAGTAATTGTGGAAAAATCTATTAAGAGATTTGAAGAAAATATGAAATTACTATTTGTTGCATACCAGACTGTTGCTTATATTAAAAAAAAAATTTCACAGATGAATGCTAGAGTGATTCTAATAAACTGATATATAAAAAAGACAAAAGAAAGAAAGATGAATCAGAAAATCTTTAATACTATCATACCTAAATTATAATTATCCGTTTACTATTTGGAAATAACTGGACTTAGCAGTTGTCAATATCTCATTCTTTTCTCATCGAGATAAATGAAAAAGCTGTACGACAAATGGATAGGAATCGTAATCGATTGAGTGATACACAATAATATCCGATTTGTACATCTACACGATAAATGAGGACTTCTTAGAATTATCCACTTCTTTAATCTAATATAATTGCACGTCGATGGATCAATCTTTCCGACATAGACGAACGATGTTTGCCTGAATTCTAAACGAAAAGAAAAAACAAAAATATTCCATTAAAATCAATACGAACGACCTACTTGAATAATGCAGGAATAAGTCCCATGTCAATCAAAGGGCATTGAATTCATCGGAGTACGGAAAAAACCAACCCAACAAGCACAAGTGACTGTTATCTAAAAGAAAGAAAGAATGACAACGGATGCGAAGTATACGTTCAACAGTGTCTCCCAATAAAACATAAGTAATTACTGACAACGAAATAGACATGCTTATGTCTACTGCTGCTAAAAGGATATGAACAGACTTCAGTATAAATATAACCAAAGACCACATCATAGAAATTTAATGTATCTAACAAACTAAAATCTGATGAGTTCACCCCAACGGACAATCACAAAAGCCAATGATGAAAACAACCGCATCACTCTACCCTCATCACTACAATATCCTTATTATGATAACATATTAAATGTAAGGTCATCGCTCCTCAGTCGGGGAATCGTTCATCATACACTAATGTATGCGTTGGATCTCACGTCATCATATGGAGCACATTAACTTCTGCCTCAGAACGTATCAATAGACGTCCAATTGATTAAAGTGGATGGTTCACTAATACTATACTTTTAATGGGAATCTAGACGATCAGAGAAATTCCCTGCAACATTGCTAAGAAAATTTCACATAGGAAATGTTTTTAATATTCACATATCCCACTTCAGATTCTCTCTATCGCTACAATGTTCATTTTGAAATCAATAACAGTATTAACGTAACATTTCGTTAAAAAAGAAGACTAAAACATTATTAACGCCTTTCACTCATTCTCTTTCTTACACGCACAATTATCATTTCGCATAAGCTTAAAGAATTTGTAAAAGTATAGTTCCATGTGTAGAATGAAGTTACCTGAAAATAAACAGTCCGAAAGTGTTTGTTTTCAGTCTGTAAAATCAACAAGCCTTTTGCATAAAAAAAATCTGAAGAAGCATTTCGTGTAAATGAATAAGCGGAAATGTTCCGAAACATGATGAGCTTAATCTTTATTCATTCAGATTTCTTTTTAACTATGAGGTCAGCAAGAACACTGCACATGAAACTAAAACTATAAGAAATTTTGAAGGAACAGAAAAGATTGTCCAACGAAAAATTTGAACAAATATCTAAATCATTCTAATGTCAAATTATCCAAACAAAATTCTTAAATTTCTGTTTCCTAGAAATCTGATTGTTATTAATAAAAATTTGTGTATCTAAAAAGAACCTTCAAAATTATAAAAATTCACTAGCGGATGAACATATACACACATAACTGCTCGAAAACATGTTGTCAAGAGACAAAAATATATCAAGGTAGATAGATTCTTTGACAGGAGAAATTTTGTATTTTTGATGAATAAATGGTATTCATGGAGTATACTCTCTTATTAATGATAGAGATTCTTAACAGAAGAAAAGTTAGCGGGTAGCAAAATAGTACCGAAATAATGTACGATTCGAACCGTACATTGTAAAAAATTTTTTATTGCTAAAGAGTTTTTGGAACACTCAACAAAAATAAATCATATAAACAAAAAGCAACGCTAAGTTTAGGTCACAAAATAATTTTTTAATACTTTCCTCGTTCAATTATAAGACATTATAAAACTTTGGAATCTCTTGGCCGATGTAAACATAAAGAACTATAAGCGTGGGCTCTTCTTAATTTGACACTATTCAGGATGAAATTTAAATTTTGGACTATTGTCCTCTCTCACCCACCCACACAGCGAAAATAGTGGGGAAAATACGTGGTAAAATAGTCGTAAGCAGTAATACATTTTTCTCATATGGAATAACTAATTATGTATGTTCCAGTTTTTTCTCAAATCCATGAATTTACATTTGCGAAAACCAGTTATATGCTTATTACACAGAAATGCAGCCTAAAGATCCCATTAAGGACACATAATCAATGCATATTTATAGACATTTTGCCCCTGAATAAAATCAATCAATACTTGCTGATAATTAAAAAAAAAAAGGTATGAAGACCAAAAAATGCATTCTTTGAAATCAGTAATGATGAGAAAAGAAAATTTTTTCTCAAATAATCGTTTAAGATGTAGATAATATCCGACTATCTTCGTCACAACGAAACCAAGTTTCGAAATCAATACATCAAAACTGCTTGGTATAAAATGGCCATCTTCATAATAATGAAGAAAAAAAACGAAATATATGAAACACTCTCTTTCCAAGTGAAAATAAAGAAACTATTTTAAAGAAAGAAATAAAAATAAGCAATTCACAATGATTTCGGACAATAGCAAGTATGTATGAATAAAGTAAATAATGTAAAATTTTTCGAGAATGAGCAAACAGCATTATATTCTCCAAGAATTCACCAACCATGGATGGCTGTTTGCAAAGACTATTTCCCGACTAAATACTATTAGTATGGTTCGGTATATTTAGTAAGTCTAACCTTCCGTCTCCAGTTTTTCGCCAAATAGGCATTATCTGTCAACTGATCTCAGATATCTACCAACCGAAGCACTCTTCAGTTGCGTGATTTGAGAACGGTTGATACCTATCATACGTAACTTATTACTGCTGGACAGCAAAAAAACGGAATATAGAAATTCTATTTAAGAGCTGCCCATTTCATGAAACTTGGTATTGTCCTGCACGGTATATTTTCGCACACAGCTTTGATATTCAGTGCACGATCCTCAGTTAATAAAACAACACTTCGATAAAGTCTTGTTGGCTGCTCCGCATCAATCATAGATACCGACGATGACTGTGTTGTTGCTACGGCGTTTGGAGGCTTAGATCGAGTTTTCGCAAAGTTCACACAACTTGATAAAATAAAATCGTCATTCACTGTCTGAAATTTTATCTTTTTCTATTTTGATAATCCTGCCAAATTATGTAGACTTCAAAAGAGAGCGTATTACATTCAAATTCAATAATTTATATGCAAAAATGATATCAGGACATAAAAGAGGCGTACAAACTGTTTTTAAAAATGTGAAATTTTTGAAAGACAAACCTATGAAAATGATAATCAACTAACTTAACAAAGTGATTATTTTATTTAAATTCTCTCAATCCTGATATCTGATTTGTCATCTAGTGTCATATTTTCTTGTATTGATGATAGTTTTTCAAAGAAATATTCAGCCTTCTTGCCTATTTCTAAGCATTTCTAAGATAGCAAGCAAAAAAATAGTGATAAATCCAAACCTTCAGTTCCCCTGAACCACAAGTTTCCTCTGTAGCAAACATTAGCGAAGTTAATAGATTTCCTTTGCTGGTAATTGTGTAAACTTGAGGTACTTGCTTGCCAATCAAATCTTTTAGATAGGCGACTGCCTCTTTTGCTCGTTCACCAACCCAATGATCTTGAAAATCTTGTCCTCCAACAGTAGTAGGTTTTGAAGATGATACACGTGAGAGGCTTTCTAATTCTGAGAAAACTGAAATTTTTGAATTCTAACTTTCCTGTGTAAAGATAAAAACAAAAGTTGAATCCTAAAATTTGCTAGTGTAAAATTTTTAAAAAATACCAGTTGTTGGTACAAGTACAGTGAATCGATGACTTTCAACAATTTTTTTAATAGACGTCAAATGATCGATAAACGTGTTTGTATCCGGTACCAAATAGTTTGGGCGCACTTCAATAATCATTTGATTTCCCTTTGTTTCACGTTCCAGAAGCTTCTTAAAATCAGTAATTGGATTTTAAGTTTAAATGACTTATTAAAAATTATAAATGACCACATATTTCCGTTTCTTTTTCAATAAATCCAAGGATTCGATAAAGTCGAAAGTTAAAAACAGATTAAAAGTGCGAAGGTTTCCAGCAGCAAATGGAAAATTAATAGAACAGTAAGGAAAAATTCAACTACAAACATGCCTGTTTTACTTGATTTTCGTGAACCGTTCGTCTATAATGTCTATACTCATCCGAGAAATGACTCTGAAAAGGAATAGCACGTAGAGAAAAATCAATAAAAGTTTGCTGTTGAAAACAATACACATGAGCTAAGGATTCATATTACGAAATATAAAATGGACATCAAGTTTGCAAACTTACTAAATCTTGTTCTATTATTTCATGTTTAAGCTCTGAGTTGTCAAACTGCTGATCAAAATCAGCATTGCATTCTCTCGTTTTCATATTTTGGACGTTAACTGGTGACGCGCAACGGGTTGCAGCAAAACAACGCAAATGCTCATCGAATCCAAAGCATGGCAATTCCGAACCATCCAAATATTCTGCTGTAGATAAAAGGGACGATAATCGAGCATGAAGGGCTAGAAGAGTTGGCTGAAATTGGAAATTTGTTACTGGACTAGAGCATGATTAATTTAGTTGGAAAAATTCGCACTTGAAGCTAAAAAGCCAAAAAATAAAAAGCTTGTAACATCCTCTACTACCAAAATTTTTGAAGTTGGACGAAGAAAAATTTGGCGAGAATGGAACATCAAAAGTTACTTTTATTTACTAACTGCTGGGTATTCCAACGGATACATCATGATTCATTTAAAAAATACTTGATGCGACAAACTTATTAAGATATTACAAGCTGCTCTTACATTATTGTGAAGATCGACATTTGCTAAGAATGACATCTGCAATGATTTCGGCAATACCGTAAACACATCAATAAAGGACGCCAAAAAAACTGCTTCCGGAAGCACAATCTCTACATATTCTCCCAATTTTCCTATAAGAATTCAACTGTAGAGGAAGATGTTCAATTTAGATTTCTTTCTACGCAAAATCAAAAACATGAAAACTCATCAGTGCTGTCCAATGGAACAACTAACCATCAGATTGTGTAATAGTCCTCGATAAAATTCCTTTAGATTCAGCAGTCACTAAAGTATTCGCAACATCGGCAAATAATTTCCAAGTATCAACTTGTATAAGTGAAGTTTCAATGGACTCTAATGATGGCATACTTCTGTATAAACGATTTACGGACGGCATCGATAACCATTCAGAAATAACGAAAAGAGCTGGCAGCACTCGACGCATCTAAAGCATTTGCAACTTTAGAACATACATTGTACGCATTTAGAAGACAATTACTATTATTAGAAACGTTCCATAAAATAAAAAACCTTTGATGGTAGGCGAACAGAACCGTTCAGAATCTCCGACAATTCTGGCAACTGGTCATATATTGGCCTTAAAATTACTCCAAACAAGCTTAGAACCATCTGCACTGCCTGTTGTTGTTGTAAGGAACAAGTACCTGGTTCACTATCTGAAATAAACAATAAAGGATCAAGAATCGAATTCGGAGCAATTTTAGCTTTCATAATTCAGCATGATGTATGCTCAATATGCGATACTAGAATGCTTTAGCAAATCCAACGATAAACCATAGAACAAGATGAGAACAAGACTTCTGCTCTGATATTACTGTTCCCTGCTTCATAATAACCCAACTTCGCAACAGTAGATGCGCTTTCTCTCGTCGAAAAGTATACACACAAACAGCTCCCTTTTAGATACGTCTAGAGCTATCAAAACATTAGTGAAGATCATTCACGAAGCGTTGTTAAGATTTACTTTTTAGAGTTAAACTGTGAACAGCATAGAGAAAAAGAATGCACAGTTGTATGAGATGTAAAGACGAAAGTGGACACTCGTCACGTGATATTAACTGAGATAGTTGGAATAATGCTCGTTCGCTAATACTGTCATATTCTTCCATTCCAATTTTAGTAATAAGAAGTCCAGCTGTATGAAGCAAATACGGCACTGCACGGCGGAATAACTAAAAAAATTAAATATGGAAAATTGTTTTTCTTCAAGCGATACATCTCAATAATCTCAATTATCCAAAAGTGTTTTTATGCCAATTTTTCTCCGTATTTTTTGTATGCTATTTCATTCAAAGGAAAACAACAATCTAACAAAACTTATATTATCCGACGAAAAATACTGACATAAATTTAAAATGATTCAATTTAGACCTCAACAGTGGAAACCGATCTCAATGCATGGATAGCTCGATGATCCGCAATATTTGCATAATCACCAGAAGAAAGCTTTCCATCTTGCGCAATCCAGATTTCTCGTGGCCTATCAGCCCGAGCGGCAGCTGCTTCGGCCTCCCGTGATGCACTATCACCAACGCGTGCATTGAACTCTATTTCAAATTCACTTACCTAAAAACGACTAGCAAAAGTGTACAATAACAGATTAACTCAAATTTCGTCAGCATTCTGAAAGCGATGAAAAAAACTTTTGCTGGAAAAGGAGTTGGTCGTGTTAGAACAAAATAAACAATTCTTTATTCCAACGGATTAAATTAATCTTGTCGAAAAAGGGAATCGAGCATCAGTCCTTATTAATCTAGCAGTCTTGATGATATTCATCACAGTATCAGCAAACTGGCCCACAATTTATACAAGCTCTATCAATTTTGTAGAATCATCCATACATCATTCAAATCGATAAGAGAAATGAATCTTATCCCACCACATATTTCTAACAAATGGCTTATATTAGGGTCATTATCTTGATACTGCAACAAGCCATTTTCTCAAAAAATTCCAGTTTTCGAGAAAATGTAAAAGTGTTAAAATCATCAAAATTTGTTGAAAAAAACCAATCTGCAGAGTTTGCGAAACTTTGTATGGACATTTAACTAATTCACTAATTCAAAATACCTTCTTCTGAACGTGATTGAAAGCTGTGAAAAGTGGCTGCCGTGCGGTTTCAAATGGGTAGCGTGCTGCTAGCGCTCGCACATAGTAGAATATTACATCGATCCATTTCGACTGCAAAAAAAAGAGAATTCAAAGAGAATTTCATATTTTTCAGAAAGAGCAATAAAAATTAGCAAAAACGGTTTAGCAAATGCCAAAAAAATTGGAAAAATGTAAATTTATGCAATAATGAATTGTGCAAACTCGCTCAAAACTAGGAGATGAATTTTTGAAATGATAAAAACGTTGTTAAATCAATGATAGCAATATCAGAAGTAAAGTTTCTCAAGAAAAAGAATGGAATAACCAAACGATGACAATAAAGCAGATGTATAAGACCTATGAAAAGAGGATAAAAAAATGGTAACGAGCAGTAAAAATTGTAACGGGTAATGACAGCTTTCAGTACCACTTTTTTGAGAAAGATCAATAGGATTAGATGCTTTAGAAAGGAGCACTCCTAAGTTAAAAGGGAGTGCGATTGCTATACAATCTAGACCATGTCATATAGTGACCAAACGTGTACTGAATGGTAGATTTGACGTGATCCCCATGGGCGACAGTCTTAAATACCAAAATCAATGTTAAGGCAAAAGAAACAGACACGGTGGTTTTTGCCTGTATGAAGGATTCACTGAAAGCTGCATAATTTGCAATATAGAATGCACTTTAGATGAATAAATAGTTCGATATTCAAGTAATTAATCTGCATTCCATTAATTAAGATAGAAGTGAATCAGATATCTTGCCTACTACTCTACATTTGTAAGCGTTTCAGTCAAATTCCATATAATATTGGATGGAAATAATTTATGATGCAAAGATTTATAATTAATGATATAATCAGTTCGAAAAATTCAAAAATCCTTGTGAATTTAAAGCACTGAAATTGAGAACATACAAAAAATCTACGTTACACAGACTACGTCTATTATTTGCAGGAGAAAAAAACTCTCCCTAGCCTATATTCTATGCAATAGATGCAAAAATATTCCCGCATAATATCAGCGTGGATATCAAAAATTTAATAGTAAGAATGAAGATTAAGGATAAAGTTCCGTGTTCTTGATTCACATCAGTAAGGTCATTTTTATGCGTATTATTCCTTTCTCATCGGTGGTTAATGAGATATTAATAGCTATGCAAATTTGTAATAAGCACAAATGGACTTGGAAAATTTCTTCTTGAATTGACTACTCTCACTCAAACAACTGAGAAGATAATTCTGATTTGATAATTCAGTTATATCAACAGAAAGACAGTCAACTAAGAAGCCATTGCAAAATATGGATCTTGACAGTCATTTTAAAAATTTAAATACTCTCACTAGATTTTTATATCAAATAATACACCTCATAAACAGCAAGGAGAGCCAACTGATTGTAAGAACGTCCATTTCCCGCAGCCAACTGCGCTGCTTTCTGATACCATCTAAAAATCTGAGAAACTAATTTTTCGAAAAGATATTAATAATGCAGTGAACATTAGCAGACAGAAAGTTCAAGCAATTGAGTAAATTTGATTAAAACTATAACAGTTTTTAACCTATCATTCCCAAACTTTTGCAGAGGTTGAACATCGATAACTACAAGATTTTGGTTATGTTAAAGTGGAAACTTACAATCTTGCGTGTGAATAATCCTTAATACCTGAAACCATGCCACTATAGCGGTGCAAATCACCAATCGAAACTGCTAGTCTCTGGGTAGATAGCAGCGCTACCTTAAAATAGAGATCATTTTTATCTTCAACAGCGAAGATTTTTTAAAAGAGCAAAAGTATCACCTGCGGCAGAAAAACTGCATATGCCAAATAGACTATCACACAGATTTGAGAAAATAATATATTTTTTTTTAAGACTAACAAAAAACAATTATCAACGAATGTAATTTGTTACTAATTAGAGCCTAGATTTGAATTTTTGTTCGTTCGTAGGGTCGGCTACGCCGTTTTAGTCACAAATAATCAACAGCTATTAAGTATTACTTACTAATAATAGGTACTAGTTATTTAATAATGATGGTGTTTAGGGGTTATAATACCAACTACAAGTTTATGTTCGTCATCCTGAAAAACGCAGCAAAGTACGATATTCCATAAAATTAACAACAAAAACGGAACAAATAAGAAAAATTAAACATACAAACCACAAGAATAAATTGAAAATCACATCAACCTTAACGATATGATCCGTCGCTTCATGAACCCCAGAATTAGTTAACATACATCCAACGAAATCATCTGATGGTAAATTTGAGGGCCAGTACAAATAGTCGTCGACAATAAAGCCAAATGATACTTCATATTTATTCAACAATAGTGCATAAAAAGCAAGACCCTGTAAAAATAAGTCTTTACTCGTTTCAAATAGACAATGAAATCAACAAATTTTTACAAACCTACACCAACTTTTCTCATATTTGTGCTGCATCCTATTTTACTGCTTTGCATTGCTACTTCGTTTGCTTTATCTGCTTAAAAATAGGGATGAGAAATAATCAAACTCCCAGCATGTGAAATGTGTGCTCAAACTTATGATGGACGTTTCTACATCCATCCTCGTTAATCTCCTGCTCTCTTAAAAATATCCTCATATTTGCAATCACCATTAAATCAATGGATTAATTTCAGCAAATAAAGTCATTAATTCTAGATCACATCCCAGATTCAGGTGATGAGTAAAATAGCTGCATACCACGACACTAGCATATTTGTTGATGTATACTTCAGCAACAATTAATGGGTAAACACTTTTTACTTTATATTTATTTACGAAAGCACTGCCGTAAAAAGAAACGCGTTTTCCAGAAACAAATTGAAAAATGTGAAACCTGCTGGATAAGTTTCAATAAACTCGTGCGAAAAACGCGCGAGGAATTTCCCGTTGAACTACTAGCAGCGCGCAGAGCTTCTATGGATGTGTAAAAGCACTGTTTCCATAAATGTTGCTCCAGATTCATCGCATAAGTATAATTGATATTTTTTGTCACAATTGACAAATAAAGTTTTGATAATGATTCACTGGAATGTAACTACTATTATATTTTAAATTTCAACTTTTGTGGAAACAGGAGTCATAGAGGACTTTTTTAATCCCGGTGATATTTGATCATTTATAACTCTATTCCTATAATGAAATCTCGCTGTCAATTAATTTTTACAGCTCATTTCATTAATACCAACCAAATTCATTCTCGAACTTCAAAAAATCGATCTCCTAATACTTACTATCAAATAGCACATAGAGTTACATGTTTGGAACTTGCTCCCGTTACTGATAGGCCCCAGCCATTATTTTTGTATATCTTCAAATTGTATCTATATCATAAGATTAAAAATCCTTTTTCTTATAATGCAGGAGATTGTGGAAAATGCCGTTCAACCTGGCTACTAGGATTTCTTGACTAGCACTTAGATCCGCAGATTCTATTATTCGATCGACCAACTGATTGATTGTGTCGTTTAAAGCCTGAATTTGTGGGCCTTCTTTGCATGAAATTTCCAAATGGATTGGCCATTCAGTAGGCGGCAGCTCCTTTCGAAATCTATTAGTTTTCGTTTTTTTCAATGGCGATTCTGAAATATAATGGCTTTCAGGATTCTGAAGTTTTATGCATTTAGGCTTCAAAGATCAATCAAAAATGAAAATTCGTGTAAAGTAAGGAATATAAAAAAATAATAAATGCTATTGCTAGCAGAAACATGTGGGGAAATATAACTTTTTTCAAACAGTAGTATAAAACTCACCACTTGAAGCTTCTGCCAGAAGAGTTGCTGATCCATTAGACGGCGTTGATACACCAAAGTGTTTCTCATCCTCTCGAGGATTTCTCACTGCAGCGGTTTTCGGTCCACTAACATCTTTAACGGGTATAGTCGAGGTCGTTTTTAGGACATCAGATGTTGAGGAACTGTAAGAAATCATTAAGAGCTAAACATAGAAATTATAAACTAAGATAAATTGTCATTTTTTCTATAAGCTACCAAATAAAATTACTAGCAACAAAATTTTCACATAAATTTTTATTAGCATACCTCAAATCGTTATCTCTGTTAGCAGTGTGCGTATTACTTGCAAAATTACTGCTACTCACAGCTACTTCTCTTTCTGGATTACATTGCTTCCTGAATTAATACAAGACGGAACTTCTGCATCCAAGTATTATATTAAGAAGTTTTCAATTTTTACAGAAACGAGATTTTTATAGTTAAGAAGTTAAAAAAACTGAAAATTATGAAATAAATGAATAATTGAATAAACATTACAGGACTGAAAATACCTTAATCCTCTCGTTTCACCTTACTAATCTCTAAACTAACCTCATTCTCCATCGATTTCCGCGTTTATTTCGTCCTCTATTTTCATGTCCGCTTCGATACGTGTAATTCGCAGCCGGATTACCCGATCTACGAACTAAAAAAAATAGAAAAATATACTTTATTCTCACTCTGACAGCATATTGGAGTTCTTTCAACTATACCTTGTAAATATTGAAAAATGTATTGTGAATATATTCCCTATGAAAAAAACCTCGGTTAATAAATGGGAATTCCTCATCCAGGTAACAACTTTCCCCTCTACCATTTCTGCCATTTTTTTGTCCGGAAAAATTTGATGTCGTTTCTCGGTCATCATTAGTTGGTGTTCTTTCACCACTGCTATCTCCTACTTCACTTTGTTCCATGATGCTTTCGGAAATACTTGATGTTTGACTTGTAAAACTATCTGTAAAAAATGAGTTAAGAAACTAGTTTTTTGAGAAATGGAAATGAGCAAAAAATTCAAAAATTTTTTTGAGGAAAAGAAAATCACCATTTCGTTGTCTTGGGAGCATATTATCGGTAAAACGATGCCTACGTCCGATCGACGGTTCCTTAACAGAGCTAGAGTATAAGCGACCAAAACTATTACTACCACTGACACCTCCTGAATGATTTCGGAATTTAGAAAGAGATTCGAGATCACGTTGAGATCTTTTATTCTGAGAACTGGAGGGGTCTATTTGTGACGGTTTTTCCTCAATCATGCGTTCCCGCTCCTTTCGTTCCTTCTGAAAATTACAATACGATTTCAATTCCGAATCGTCTGATCCTTTTTTTTAAGTTGCATAATCATAATTGATTATCATATCAGTTCAAATTTTTAATTGTTCAGAAAAACTATATAAAAGAACGTCATTATTAAAGGAGAAACTTATCAGAAAAAAGTTACCTTACGTCGCTCTTCAGCTTCTACTTCTGAGCTCCAATCAAATGAAGCCAAGTCGATCGAATCAAGACTAGCGCATAAATCCTGAATGGAAAATTAATTGATTACACTGACTTTGCTTTGCAAATTGGATTTAAAAATAATATTTCCAATGCAGCAAAAAAAAACAATTTACTCCATCTTATTTCCAAGAAGTTCGAAAATAAGAAAGTGATTCAAAATACCAAGAAAATATAGATAGGAATAAGTATATGCCAAGTTAAGCAAAACTCCATGAGAGAGCAGCCAAAAACTTAACGCAAGATTACTCTTTTTTCTGAATAAAACAGATTGCCTATGAACATCAACACTCGATTATTTTAATATTAGAAAAAACACCAGCTTTTGAATCAATCTTAGAAGTGACTTCAATCGAAAGTCGAAGAAGGAACAAAGGTGACCGTGCAGATGAAGGTTTATCATTCTTTCTCGTACTAAAAGCAGCCACAGGGTTTATTTTTATTTCTCACTTGAAATAGCCAAAATTATTCGATCCTCTTAAACTTTTAGTAATTTTTATAAGTAGTATTTTCTGGACTTCGCGGAAAACTATCAAAGAACCTGGAAAGATATATGGTTTGATGATGCTCCAGATTTCTTCGCCAAACTTTCCTTCCTTTCAGAATCCTAAAGAAACAAAAATATTTTCAAACGAATGGTATATTCAGGCTACTTTCCGTTCACATATTCAAATGAAAATGAATAAAAGCATCAAATTGCAAGTAAGGAAATCATCGAATGATTTGAAATATTTAATGATCCATCAAGACAATTTGATACTTCCATCATCGAACAAGTAAAGTTAACAGAGTAAAAAAGACATTTCTTAAATATATATATAATGTACTTACAACATTAAAAAAGTTAATTTTCATGGAAATCTTTTTTCGTGGTCGAAATATTTATTGTTACTTTAATTTAACCTAGAGCAATGTTTCCTAAGGGTAAATAATTTCGAATTGTTTCAAATCCCATTCATTGAAAAATAAATAAACTTTAATTGATGTTCGGTATTTTGTACTAATCTACATATGTTACGTAAGCTAAAGCAAAACGGAGCAAAAATAAACCCGCATTTTAGAAGATAAAAAATATTTATATATAGAATTCATTTAACTAATTTTTAGCTAAGAATTGCATCCAACAAACCTGATTATCTTGTAATTTATTATTAGCTCGATTGACACGACTACCTCTATTGTTTCGATGGCGACGATGGTCGAAATTTTCCGACTGATTGCTTCTGAAAGACCAATTTTGTTGACGATCCAGTGGACTCTGGCGCTCAGAACTTGCTGGTTTTGGATCGTTGTCAGCAGCGCATAGGGGTCCCTGAATCTGAGATGTTTAAGAATAAAGAATAAAAACAGAACGATGACAGCATAAACAAGATAGTTTTGCATCGCTTCATTTTCAGAACCCAAAGGTTGAAACTGAAAATTATGTTGATAGTCCAAAAAACATAAAACCACTATGGCGAACTTTCAAATATTTTATTGCTGTGCACTGATCAAAAACTACAAAATACATCATTGATCGCACGATAAAATCGAGGAGTACATACCTCCTTCACTTAAATGAACCTTTTTTATATTTCAGTAGTATATTTTTAAGTGATAAAAGTTTTCCATAAATTTCAGCAGTTTTCTTTTTCCATTGTTAGATGATAAACTTTATAGTCATTTATTTATAGGAATGGTACGTGCTTTTTCCATCACCAGATCGACAAGCATGGATTCAAATTATATTATCCTTCATCAAATTGTAATTACCCTATTTGTTTCTTAAAGTTCTGATTTTTTGAGTGTCATAGCTGTTACTTTGTTTTGTTATGCATTTATTTTACTGATTAAAAATTTAAATCACGATGATTATTTCCAAATGTGGCTGATTTTCCACAATCCAGCCTTTCTCATTATGCGTAAATCAAACAATGAATTACCTTATATTGTCTAAAAATTTTTCTATATAATACAAGCGTTATATCTATCAAAAAAGAAAAATAATTATATATAATTAGATTTCTAAACTGACTTCATCAAAATCATGGCGTGATGGGGGTGTATGGCATTTGTTTGGGTTACGCCTTATGTCTCCACCACAGTAACCACTGCCCAGCTGCGAATGGTACTGTTGCTGATGACAACGATATGTTGTTGATAACGGACACTGTTCTTTTTGACAGCTGCTACCACTATTCTGAAAAACAAACTGCTAATTCTATTTCGAACGAATTTTATTTCGAACAGTGTTTCTTCTGAAGCGACAGTTAAATTATTTCATGTATTCCAGATATGTTGGAAAAAAATGTATAAAAACAACATAAGAACTTCTGGAAAGAGCAGATGATCAGATTTATTGAGATTAGATTTATTGGTAATGCCTAAAACATAACTCTATTTCAATAATTTTAATTTTCTAAAAAAATAGTAAACGACGTATGTGCCAAACCTGGTTGCTGGGAGATGAAACTTTTAAAAAATTAAAAAATATCAAAATATTGAAAAAATGAACAAATATATTAAAAACTAAAGTCATATTCATCAAGATCTATTAAACTCGTGTTTCCTCAGGATCTGAAAAGTGAACTAAAAATGACTTTATTTAAGGCCGAAGTAATAAAAAGTGATAGATACAATATTATTTTTGTGCCCAAAGCGAAAAGAAGACTTTCATAAGCTGGATAATGGTGAACATTCAGTCTTGAATTCAAAGACCGAAGAATTAAGATTAATATAGAAATTAAAAATACTAACACCTGGCGTTGAATTTAAATTGGATGCTTCTTTTTGATTCCATGAAGGTGCTCCAAATCGTGAACTGGCAGAACCGTTGTAATGATGTACATCATGGTCTGTAGAGCAACCTTCGCAAAGCGATTGAGAAGAACTCTAAAATACAGCACAATATATTTGTAAGTATGCCTTAAAACAGCTTATAACAGCAAAATATGAAATTTCTTCAATGTGTTTTAGAGATCGATGAAGTAAAGAATTCTTTTTTTAATCTGATAAAAAGCATTGTTTAGTTTTGACATGAACGAATACGACTTTTATATTTTCTGTTTTTCAAAATAAACAATACAAAATGTGTTATGATATATCTATCGGCATGCAAAGAACATAAAACTATAGGCTATATTGATCAAAAATTATCTCAAACAAATACAGAGCTTGAGTCGTGCTATTATAGATCTACGAGTTCAGCAGTAATCTTGACTCTCCTGGTAAGTAGTCTAAATGAACTAAAAGATTAAATTTCTCAAAATTAACATTTTGAATTAATCAAACTAAGGGAACTGAAATCTACATTTAAACCCCATCCATAAAAATTCGACAAGTAAAAAAAGAAAACAAATTTAATTACTTATGAAGTCGAAAGTGAAAATAGGAATAAAGAACATACATAGCAGTTGTTGGAATTGGAATACATTCGTCTGCCAGGTCTTCTTTTTGGAGAACCTAAACTGTCTGCAAGATGATCACATGATTTGTTCATGTTGTTGTTGCTTTTCCGCAGTGATTTGCTGGAATTCAATTCCACTTCGTGCGTGACATTATTTGATGAACCCTTACTATTACGCTGCCGGTTGCCAACATAAAGATTCAAATTAGCGTAATCTGAAAAGACAGAAAGTTCAAAACTACCACCAATCGATATCGTAAAATAGAACAACGTGAATCCAATAAATATTTTCTCAATCATTTTCAAATTCCAATAAAAACCAATATTAAATGATACAGATACTTATAATATTTATATACAATCAACAAACGCAGCTCTACTGTTGTATTTGACAATTATACGTAAATGGTTTAAGTATTCATAAATGTATTAGCACTTATTTTATTACAGTGGAGATAACACTGTCAGATAGGTGGGACAGCAGAATACTTAGAGAAACAACGCTATGATAAAAAAAAAAACATAAATATGCTATTTAGAATGGGAGAATTAATAAGGAACACACGCGAAAAACTTTTTCCCCTTTCAATGATTAATGAACTGCAGTATTCTCTCTTACCTATGGGAAGATGAAAGGAGCTATCGGTAAAATTAGCGCAGATCGTTGAAAAAAAGTTAAAAATCTCAAAGTGAATTGCAATAAATCGCGCACGAAATTGAGATCTGACGTGATTATGAATGAAAATACTCTGAATATGGCTAGATTCATATGAAATTTTAAAATTTAATAAGTCTTACCATTTTCTTTAAGGATGTAGTGGCGTTCATCGTCATTACACTCTTCCCATAACGTATTGCTAATAAATCCGTGATCATGTGCTTGATTCTTCCAGCTTTCTTTCTTTTTTTTATCATTTTCTTTCTCATTTTTGAAACCTGGAAATGTTTTCTTTTGTCATTTGTCATTGAGTGGTAAAATAATCTATTAAAGTTCTTAATTTTTTGGAATCTTATCCAATTTTAGAGCATTCTTTCCGTTTCATCCTATTTCGACATAACGACGCAGGCAGAGTTCTTTCTCATAGATTATTTAATTACGCCGCCTAATTTATGACTCAATTTGACGTTACTGAACAACTGAGTAAAATAAAATATACCTAAGTAAAAGGATAATTCACACAACTTTATGGTAAGAAACTTGGAAACTTGGAGTGCACTGAAAATGACTCCACTTATCAAAACTATTCTTTTTTTCCGTTTTTTTTGTAATCATTCCAGAATTAAATAGAAAACATTATTATCGAAATTCTTTCGAAGTTTATTTCATTACCAATCAGTTGATACTATATTAATTTGGAAAATGGATTATCTTCTCGAATTTCATGAATTTCAGATGTTTAAGGCTAAAACTTCAAATTTGCAAAAATCTACCTTTCACAGTATTCATTGATTTCACCGGCTGTCGAATATTTGCGTTCTTTTCTCCACCATCAATCTTTTTGCCAGCTGCGGTAGCCCTCAGCATTCTGGGACAGTAAAGTTGTATGGTAGGACGAGCCTTACGTGCGTTATCATTTCGCGTTATTTTTGGAGAATCTTCCGACATTTGCCCATCAAGCAAATAGCAATAAAACTTTATCCTCTTAAAAACCAAAGACATAAGCCATTTTTCATTTGGAATATCAACAAATTTAAAAACATAAATCTTTCAAAGATTTTGAAAATTCAGTAATTTTAGCGGTATACCAGCAACACTATTGATGATCATCTTTCCTGTGAGGTCATTATTATAGCAAACTTTTTTGATTTCGTGACTACAATTATTTCATTCTACAATAACTATTACGAATCTTCTCAAATGCATATCAATGTTTGGAATATATAAATACTAAATCCGATAATGCAGTTACGATTTTTGAAGTTTAAGTTATCGAAAAGTAAGGATTGATGTTTTACATGAACTTATAACTTCAGCGCGGAAAAATCATGAGTCTTAGATGTAGGCATTTGGATTAACTCCTACTGAGCAACTAGCTAGTAGTTCCGTGCTACATAAGAGGTTACTTGGATCACTTCTTGCTAAATATCACACTTTTTACCCGTTGTTCACTCAGTACATTATGGAGTGACTTACAGCAGACTCCAGAGACCAAATATTGGCCAGTGAAGCATCGTGGTCAAGTTTTAGCAATTCCACAGCCTTCTCATTATTGCAAATATTTAAAAAGAAACAAAAGCCAACCCAAAGGACCCTCCCAAGAATACCAAACTGACCCCAATCCCACCCCTCGATCGACCAATTTCCATGCAAATAACTCTATCTGTTTTACCATCACTGTCATGCATTTTTTCACAGAAACCAAACGAAATTGTTAAATCCCGTACAGGCAATTGTCATTGAAATGTCTTGCTCCGCAGCGTACTGCAAGCGGACTGTATTTCTGCACTATATTTTCTTGAAATGCAATTTAAAATGATTTTTTGTGTTGTTTTCTATACGATGGAATGATATATGTGAAAGCACGATTTCGTTCAACAAAGCAAACATTACTTCTAAAAAATTAGAAGCTGTGACTCGATAGTGTAATACTATAAACGACCGAATATGGGTGATCTAAGTTTTAGGTGCTTCAACTGTGTTTAGTACATATTTCCGAATATTCTATCTAAAAGCAATCAAGTTAGTGGAATAAGGGGCTGCCGATATTACATACTAAGTGCAACGCCATTTGAAATGCAAATAATAGATTCTAACTACTGGAGAAATATAACCGAAACAATTCTATAAAAATATTAGGGTTTCGGATTATGTGAATCCATAGGTTTATGAACAAAAAAAGGAGCAAAAGTACTTGATTCCAAATTTTCAGAATCAAATCTATTTGCTACATATCTTTCTGTGTTACCATCGCGACTGGTGACATATTGTCGCGGAAATTTTTGCAGCAACTATTTTTATTATCTTCCACTTATACTCTTTTAAATCATGCATTCCAATCAAGTTCTTTTGATTAGAATGTTGTTTAGAACGCTATCATGTAAAAGGTTCTCAGTTTATCTCAGTTTTTTATCATTCTTTATTCATAGAATCTATACATCTTTCCAGTTTTATTCTTTTCATGGAGCAGAACGTTGCGCCAATAGTTTACTTTGCATTTCAGAACTTTTCTGATACTCACGGAATCAATAATGCAAACTGTAGTTGAGATGAAAGTACAATTGCATTGATAATTACTATCTGGAGACGTTTACGACGTCTCCAGTTTATGACACGATGATGTAATTCCCAACAAGAAAGCTTTTTCTATTACACACAGTCCCTCCGCGTTTCCATATATTCATTTTCAAACGAATCGGAACAGTGCTCGAAACGAGATAGTATATTTTTAGTAGCCAGTAGTACATCTTCTTTTAACGCAGTTTCTCACTATCGACACCCAAGAAAAAGAATGACATGCACTTGTAAGATCGGCAATAATCATATGGTAGTCTTTGGAGATCTACAGAATGTCTAAATCCTTTGACCAAATTGCGAATATCCATTGAAGTCCTTTTATTTTACAAAAAGATTTCAAATTCGGAATTTGGTTAAAGTAGGATGCTAGTTACGAATAGCAAAAAGATTGTCTAAATCAGAATGTCTAAATCTTTTCTAAATCTGATTATTTCTTAATTTAATGCGAAAAAACATGAGCAACTTATGGAAATTATATTTCAAATTAACTAAAATCAAACCGTCAAAATAACCCTGCTTCCCATGTCGCGTATCCTGGATAAATGTTATTCCAAATTCTTGTATGCACTCGGAAATCCGAAAAGCAAACTTTTTTATCGAAGATAAACAATGATGAAAGCTGAAATTGAACAAGATAGAGTGCTCTAAATAAAGTGGTGCCTCAAACTGAAAACTGTATATGAGCACCTGAATATTTACAATATCATCCCAGGCGGTATTTATATATAGAGACTTGTTATAATTCTTTTGTTTGGCTGAAAGCTCAGTTGTAAGCGCAACGCCACTTGCATAAAAGAAAAAATATACATACATATAGTGAAGGAAAAGAAACTATCTATGGATTCTTTATTTGTCATTTCAATTAATTTTCTTAGTTTCATTCCTGAAATAACAGATGAATATACATCGCAACACTTGCTAACTGTCAAATCCATCTTATCCATTTATATCAACACCTCTTCCCGCAACATACTGCTTACTGTGACAACAAATTTACCTTCGCATTATTTCTTGAGTCACCCCAAAATTTTTATTGACTATTTTGAAATCAATCTTCCGAAAAGAGAAATTTTTTCATAACGAAGGCAACAATGATTCATTAATTATGTTTCTCATTTTAAGATCAAATAGCCAAGTAAAGCAAGATTTTTTTTTTTTTGAAAGCATCATCTAATAATTAAATATCATAAACAATAAATAAATTCACAGAAGATATAAATAAATGCAAATATACATTTTTAAAGGAATCTATTAGCAACGTCACTTGAAAATTAGAATTTTGGGTATTTTAAAAAGATTTTTGGTTTATAAGTAAACAGTCTCCATCTACTAGATGCAATTATTGCACTTTAAAAATGAATGGATAAGTTCTTAGGCCGAGGAAGGCCGAGGAAGATCTGCCTTCCAATTCTTGTTGCCTCGAATTTTGCAACACTTGTTAACAGAACTAAAAATTAAGATAGAATAGAAAAAAATAACAGAAAGAAAATATCTCAAAAATGAGTAGTACTAATGCTATATAGCCGAAAAAAAACTAATTTAACCAAGTGTTTCAAGCAATAATAAAAGACGGAAAGCTGCAGATGAGGGGAGATAAGTTCCATCAAAGATTTTAAATTCCAAAAATGAAAAAGTACTATTTAGAATAAAAACTTCAAAAAATGATGAAAGCATCAAAAAGCATCAAATCCTCCACGGCAGCAGAATTTGATGCTTTGTAAAGAAGCCGCAATATATCACCACCAGGACGAATGCAATCACTTATAAAGATTCAGACAAACCGAAAAATAGAAAAAATGTTTAAAACGAAGCCGAATAAGTTATGAATGATACAAGAAACGCGACAAATATTTTTTGAGACGACATACATTTCTAGAGAAATTTTTGAAAAATTAAACACAAGAATTTAAATTTCATTCTTTTCGTCTTTGTCATTATTATTTTCTTTTTCTTCCCTTGCTTTTTCCTCTTATGCATGTTGAGTTTGTGTCTGCATGCCATTACTGTTGGCACGATGAGCGTTAGAAAATAAAAAGGATACAAAAAACATACTGAGAAAGGTGAGTAGTAATAAAGAAAATCGGTCCGTATATTGTGGATACAAGAATACAAATGTCCATAATATCAGGAATTTCACTGAAACAAGCAAGAATATTTTGAAAAGTATTTTACCAAAAAAAGCAAGTGAATCTCGGATGAATGTTACAACGCATTTAGATTTAATTTTACAGTCTTTTTCTTCACTCAACCAAATCTATTTTTGAAAAAAACTCTCATTTAAGTGATCATCAAACCAAGATTATAAAAAATCATGTGCATAAATATAGCATTCTAGACATTATACATTTTTTTTTCTATCGTATGGCGATCTTTTCATCAGAAAGGAAAAAATGGTAATAAAAGTTGCACACTTTACGAAATACTCACTGTCTGTTCGAAAAGCCATCAAAATATCGAAGCCTTTCAAATCTCGAAAACCTATCAAGCTTACCAATAAAAATAACTTGAACATATTGCCCAATGCGACCTCCTACGGCGTTCTCATTCTGATTCCATCCATTACCTGCTGCCACATCAGCTGCTGTATCCAATGATGTGCCTCTCACAGCCGTTACCCCTGGATCCGGACCCATTACTGCATTATAGCCATAACGAAAAATCCGCAAGAAAGCGTTTTGCACTCGTATTAATCTAGAAATTACAACTAATTACTCACTTCAATTCAATTCCACAAAGAGAGAAAATAACAAAATGAGAGATTTAAAATAAGTAAAAATTCAATGATTTAAACAATTGATTTAACTGAATGATAGTTTCATCTCACCCCTCTCCAACAGCTCCTGCTTTATACATATATTTTAAGTTTCAGAATTATCTTCCAGAGCTGTTTACAGAAACCAACACCTTTACTGCTCATATGTTGTCGGTAATTACAAGCTTATTTTTCTGAAAGAATTGCTTGAAACTACTGGTTAGTGGAACAGGAGAGGACACATACATTGAATCGTTTTGATTATCTTCTATAGAATGACCTCGAAATGTCTGAATAATAGTTCGAGTTAATCCTTCTGCTGCATTGGCTGATACCGACTGCGAGCCAGCTATGGCTGCAATAGCTGCTGCAGCTGTTCCATTGCTTATATCTAAAAATATCTTGACAAATCAATCCTTGAATCAGCAAAACCTTTTTAAGAGGAATAATCAGTCTATTGAACTTTCAATTTCGTCGTCTTTTCCTCTACAGAAACTTACTACGCCTTTCCTACTCTTCTTATTCCTGTAAATGATAGAATCTACTGTCAGATACAAAAGGAATTCGCTGTATGAACAAAAGAAGTTAACTACCCGTTCACTTTTCTTCTGCGCTCCAATGAAAATATGTAGCACGGACAAGGGCAAAAGCAATAAAATTTTTTTACTTACAATCATGAATGAATGTATGGAACAAATCATGTAAAAAGTGAAGCTTTAGAAAGATTTATATACCCAGCACCTTGTATTTTTGAAATCCTCGAATTTCTTTGAAAATTCAACTTCAACTGCTTTTACGTTATGGCATTTTTGAATATCACTAAATCTAAATTTAGCAGTATTCGAAAATACAATATTAAAAAAGTGAAATATACTGAAAAACAACAAATTGTTCAACGCTTCAAGCAGTTCCTGAATTCTGTCGTGTACACATATAAATTGAAGAAATGCTTGTTATTCTAACTCCAACAAGATAAATAAGAAAGAGTTTTCATACCAGAAGATTCGTGTGATAACACACTGTTATTCGATGCATTTGGACCTGACGAAGAAGGTTGTGCGTAAGGTGTAGAACTGACATGACAATGTACAACGCACTGATCATGTAAACCATAACTTAACAATGATCGTGTATCATCTCGTAATAACTGCCCGCGATAAATGAGCCGTACTATTTTTCCCGCAAGTATTGATTCCCAGAAGTAGCGCCTAAAGTTATCAGAGATCATCAGGGTTTCGAAAGTCGTTACTGAATCCCTGAATATCAGAAAGTTGAAAAATCTAATATTAGCCTTCACCACCAGCTTATCAAAGATAGCGGTACCGTTGTAGATTTCAGTCTCCTGTTCCAATTGGTAATGTGGTGAGTGCAATGCGTCAACAGGTCTCTATTCTTCAAACACTCCCGACTTCACTACTTTTTGAAATATACCTTTCTAAACATCAAAAATCCTAGTCCGCATATAACTGGACTGCATCATATAGTAGTACTTCCAGACGTACATCATTCGAATTCAATAAAATTCTCCAACAAAAAAGCATACTATAATCAAATAGACACAGGACAGAGAACTTCACTACTAACAATTCAAAAAGCATTAGTAATCCGAAAAATTAATTTGCATAGAGATAAAATTCACAAAACTAAGACGAACCTTTTAAATTGTCCCACAGTAGATTCTAATGCTGTACAAGCAATAACCTGAGAATCATCAAGAAATTTCAATTTTACATTAGATAATTGACGTCCAGCATCATTCCCCTCCATTCCTGAAGCCGGTTGATAAGCTGAATCTGAAATTTCCGGCTTTTCACAGAAGCCAAGCATCCAACGGAAGCTAATGAAAATATAATTATGACATTTCACTTTTTTTGAAAATTCATCTTTCGTTCAAATTCATTTCAAAATTTGATAAGCAGAACTTCAAAAACACTTCATTTATATTCATAAAATCTTCAAATAGTACTATTTCGAAACAAATATTAGATAGGATAGTATGTATGAAGATCAAAATGTACCGAAATAAAGGAAGAATTCAATTACTATCATCAAAAATCTGCTACTTTCCATTTTCATCTAAATGACTGGTTTACTGATAAATTGCTATCTTAAAAACTTGCCTGCAACAACTGAAGATAATCCACGTTTTATGTCAGTAAGCGATTTCCTTCCATTTTCACCCTGAATTAGAGAATATCTTATGCCATTAGTATTACTCCTGGGTATGGTAATTTAAATGGAGTTATTCGGATCGCCAAAATAGATCCCATCATGCGAAAACAAGCCAATATATTTCTCTTCGTTCTAACTCATCCCTTATCTATACTACCTTATAGAGCTACATACACAATCCATTATTAGCAATCTGCTTCATGCAAACTCAATAACCAATAAAACAACGGTGTTTTGCTTGCAACTTTTGCGACATGCACTAATGTTTCGATATAATATAATCAATGTATTTTCTTTTATTTTTTTCTATTTAAATCTTTGAAAAAGCAAACTTTTGCACAACAAATAGTTCAACTTACTGAAAGATGTGAACTATGTTGCCAATTACCAGTTTCTGTTTCAATATAAGTTGCATGCAATAAATTTTCCGTGTTTTCTGCTAAGCTGATCGTCTAAAATGTCGACTATTTTAAAGTTAAATACTAGGCGAGTCTATTAACAACAGCTATTCATTTTTTTCATCATTCCATGGATTTTTTGTGCTGGAAAGATTATTCTTTTTATAAGTGAAAATAGTGCCTTTCTATGCATTTTTCTTTACCGAATCTATTTACTCTTGTCCCAAATATCATTACTACAGATTCCCAATCAATGAAATTTATTACAAACAATCCTTAACTGCAAAATCTCTCTCAAAGCAAAATATTTCCGTAAATATAGAAGCAAAACAGGATAAAATTAAACCTGGCTTGCATATGAAATTGAGACTACGTTGGAACTGAATCGGAGAAAATGAATATTAGTGTAACAATTTAAAAAAAACCTAGATTTGATGGATAACAAAAACCTGTTCTGCTTGCGGTACTTCTTGTGCATGTAGTGGAGTGTCTTCACTTCTGGAAAAAGGAAAGGAGATGGCTAGAGTTTGAGTAATGAAAGAACGAAGTTAATAAATTTTACAAAGAATTATCACTAAATCACCGGAAAGAAGTTATTGGCGAATGAAGTTCTTTAATTCCATTAATTTTGGAAATTCAACTAAAGTCTCGTTCATAAACAATTTGAATTGACAAATGTCTTTGCTAAGGACATCTCCTGAGCAGATAAGACTAGGGCAACAATATAAATTACGGCTAACGTTTGTACTTGCGCCATTTCCGCCACCTGAGGCAACACTACCTCCTGAGAAGTATTACTTTGTTCCATAATACCATTGTCCATTAAAGCTTCAAGTGCTTGTTCCGTGACCACACCAAAAGGTCGTCCTTCTGGACGATTCCGAAATAAGTTAACTTCTTGATTATCAACTTGCAATACCTAAGTTCGTAGTACAAAATTATTTTCTCCAAATACTTTGTTTCTGGAATCATGCCTCTTATTACTAGTGGACTAACACAACTCGTTGTTTGACTGACACCGTAGTTACAGTGACGGCTCTGTAGTCAAACTTTGAATGGAGCTTTATAATATAGTATTTGTTAACGACTTCCAAATTTTCATCAGAATGCTTCGAAATTACATGAATCACCTGAACGATTCTTCTATTGGGATGAATTTGCATTTGAACAAGCCATACATAATAATCAACTGGTGGTATACCAGTACTGATCCAAGCCAATGATATTAACACGATAATGATTACTGCTATCAGAAACCAAATGACCTGAAAAATTTCGTACATGAAACAAAACAACCCACTTATCTTTTTTCAAATTTTGACACTATAATCAGAAAAAACAGTTACATGTGCATAATATATTTTACCTTAACTTCACTTTTGGGCATATAGAAACTGTCAACGTTATTTCTGAAACAGCGGTAATTTTTAAACTGTGACTGAAAGAAATAACAAGATAGCTGTAAGCTTGAAATCCACGATTTTTTGAGATATTCTAAACAATCTCTTTCTTTAGATATTAGCAAAAAATTAACCCCTTGCCTATTGTAAGTACAGTAACTGGAATTTAACGAATTAATTCGAAGTTATTTTCCCAAAAGTTAACAATCAAAGCAACCATTGCTATGCTTAAATGTCTGAGTAATATTTAATTACGAGATCAAAATTAATTAACCTCATCGCCGATGCCTTCAATAAAGCGAGCCATGCGATGTGTGTGCTATACTGTGAGCCGAAACATGACAGTAATCTCCTGAAATGCAACACAGAGCACTCGTCATCGAACCAAACTTTTGCTAATTTCTCTGAACACCAAATACCCCCGACCGCTTATTCCAATCGGCATCAACATTTCCTAAGGTCCCGTTGAAATTTAACGATTCCGCACTGTCATACTACAAAAAATAACGAGGTAAAACAATGATACTTATATTTGGTAAAGTGACAGAGGCAGAAGAGAAGTAGCCAAGCTTGCATTGGTTTATATTTGCGCTCCTCATATTCTGATCATTCCATTTTAAGTTGCTATTAAAGTGGTTTTTCAATACTACTGCAATAGTATTTTGGTTATTAATCAAAGGAGAGAGATCAATGTATGTATTCGTCCTATCGTTAGAAATCAGTAAAGATTCCATTCTGCTTCCTCTAATGCCAGAATATAAACAAATTGTTAATTCTCATGCAAATTAATTCATAATTATAAAATATTTAATGAATGCATAGAAGCAGTGGAAGATTATTTTACTACAAATTTAAGTGTGTGGTGGTTTTTCTGTGAAACAGTTTTATTCTCAGTTATGAGGGCAAATCATGTGCTTTTTTGTTTAAGGATTCTAATGGTAGTAAGTTATTTTTGCTGTGAATAAATGAAAAGTTCAAAGAAAAGTTAGACCGATGCGACATAATTATTGTCATTTATTGCAAATTATTAAAATTAACTGAAATTCCCTATATGAATTAATTAAGATTTAATCGGTTGTTCTGTAGCAGATTGAAAATTTTTGATGAAAACTTCCTCTATGCTTTCCATCTTGTTTTCTTACTAATTTGCAGTTCTTCTGCATATGGGTATTAATATGTGGAGCTGTTATGGCATCACATTATTCATATAGCAATCGTGAAACATTGATCATTGCCGTAATATTGGATGCATTACTGATGGTTTTTTGTATTTTCTTGATTGTCGATGTCTTGAAAAGATATTATCTTCAATTTCCAGCGGTACTACATGCTTATCTATAAGTAAAAACACAAGAGTATTTAAAAAATAATGAAATCATACGAAGATTTTACATGTCAATTCACTGAATACTAACAGTACGATTGTGCATATTAAACTCCAGCGAGTTGCACTTAGTGTGATCGGAAAAACTAAAATAATAAAGATATATGGAAAGGTCAAATTAAAACTCGATCCATATATAATTGTTATTGCAAAACTAGTTGAAACAGGAACGCTGGACTGGCTCGATCTTATCATTTTATCTTAACATAATCTAAGATGAACTACACAGCTTTTGAAGTTTGAAATTGCTAGGTAACAAACGCAATTATATTTCGAGGTAACGAATGCAGTTGTATTTTGTGATTATCAAACTTCTTTAATTTTCACTTCAGCATTAAAATTTAACTTCTGGTTGAAGTTTTTGAATAAAAATTGGGATGAAATTAGAGTAACTCATTTATTTCAACTAAAAATACTGATTTACTTCGGTTAGATGACACTTTGGGAAGCAATCGCAATTAGTTTCGCATTAAGTAATAATTATTGTTAAAATGGCAATAGATATTATTGAAATTCTCTGCAATTCATGCATCTGTCTTTTTTCAACAATTGATCATTTATTTTAAATTATTTAACCCATAGAATAATCCAATTCAAACGTGTATATTCAAACTGTCAATGGGTTGAAGAATAAATTTGCTAAATACTTCGATCCGTTTGAGAAATGATAGTTCATCTCACATATCAGATAATCATTTTAGCTAACCTATATAACATCTATAGCCGTAATTGTTGCTGGAATCGTTGCATGGATGATCACCACATCGGCAACAGTTGATGTATTGGCTACTTTAACTATCGTAAGTTCCTGTTCTTCTGAGGTTTGCAGTAAAGAAGAGAAAAGTTTAAATTAAGTCCTCTTCTTTCTTCTCTTTCCCTTCTCAATATAAGTTGAAATTATGAGTTGCTATCGATTTCACCAACAGTTCTGGTTTTTCCCCCTTTTTTAAGAAAACTGTGATATGATCATTTTTATGAATCAAAATCAGTGAATGAAAAGTCTTTTTTTCAATATGACTTTAAGACTGAAAGCAAGAATACTAGAAAATTTTTGAAAGAAAAAGATTAGACCTCAATGTAAATGCTGTTGATGAGAATTAAATTTCAGAGAACATTTTCAAGCAAATTTGCATTTTAGGGCAATGCATGGCACATAGTAACATGCCTTATGATGGATTCTATGACACAGTTATGTGCAAAGGATTCAGGTCAACTTTTTTGTACTCAAACTTCGTCAACACAAACACGAGTGGAAGCGCAGTAGTAAAATGCAATCGATATATTCATACCAATGACTGATAGCAATGTACCTCGTTGTTCCATTCTCATCCACTTTATTCATAACAAGTTGTTTGAGTCAATTCTAAATGCTTCCACAGATAAAGCGCAAAAATTACAACACCTCGCTGTTTGCTTTGTATTCTTACCATTCGATAGCATGAAGTATGCATTTTGAGTTATGTATTTTTGCGTCATATTCTGACCCCGTTATATCTTCCTTTGTTCTTTTCTTTTTTTTTGAACACATGAAGTTCACCTTAACAAGTTTTAGTTTATGTACAACATCATGAAATTTTGGCAATATTGCACTCTAACTTTCTATTTAAAGGCTTGGAATAGTAAACAGATAAAACTATTAGTTTGTCTTATAAATAAACATCCTGAATAGATGAATAAATTAGGAATGGGTTTTTTTTGCAGGCAAAAAAGATAAAAACAAATTTGCTGGATAAATAAACGAATGCGTTTGTTCGCGTAATACGCAAGCAAACGTAAATTTTATCCATTACTTAGCTTAAAAAAGTTTTTTTGAATAAGTTGTTCACAATATATGAATTTGAATTGTTTTACTGTTTAATATATGTGAATTTAAATTATTTTAAAAATTTCCCTGTCAACCAAAATCATTTGATTTTCTGAAACACCAAAACTTCGGAGCCGCTGAGAATGCCCAGCTTGCCAGCATGAACAATACTGTTCACTGTGCCAGTCAGAAATATTCGTTTAAAACGAAGAAATCCTTTAGGTATAATGTGAAGCGTTTGTGCGATCAAAATTATCCAATCAACCAATGACGAGCTGCAATTAAATGTTTCAGATTTCTCCTGTGAATTTCACAGTGTTTAAAAAAAAAGCAAAATTAAAGAAAAATGAAGTAAGTAATCCACGCTTTTCTTTTTCATTGATACTGATGTGAGTGGACGTCGAACACCTCCTTTAGGGAGAAAAAAAACCACATTAAAAAGTTAAGATTTGGCGTCCACTGATCACCATTATTTTCTTATAGTAATAAATATTCATCTATTTTCATTGGAAAATTAAATCAAATTATTGCAAACTGAATTTATAATAAACAAGAAGGGAAAAACCATTACTTAAATTTAAAATGGATATATTAAATTGCAATGCCGAATAAACATAGATAATTGGAGAGAATAAAGATGTAAATGATCGTGACTATTTAAAAAACTCTATTTTATAAAAAACAGCGATATAAAGTCTTAATTTATCCTAGAGGGAGATACTGTTTGTTTCTGGAGATAACAGGACTCAAGAAAATCTGACAAATAAACTTATACCAAAAAACCGCGTTCACTTCTACATGCTTTCAAAAATGTGGATATGAATTTGGCATTCTTCATCCGCGAAGTGAACTAAGCAGTGATGCGACAATTTCATTACTCAAAATTAGCTTCAATAAAATTTCATTACGAAAAAATTTGAAGCAAAACCAACCTAATAAGCCACATAAACAAAGGAGAATGAGAGAAGCAAAAGTAATAAGGATTTCCAGTTTCTCGGTCAAGATCAATATTTTCCGCCAATTCCAGACCATAAATTTTTGCTGTGCTTATTATTTCTTTCCTGAAACTGTAAATTCCAACACAGCAGATTCAAAGATTAATAAAACGTTGTATCGGAATGCTTTGTTATCCTTAACTCTAACTTCTCATTAGTACCAGCAGTTGATATATTTTAATGTGAAACTGTAAATTTGGAAGAGAACATGCTACAGTATTTTTAACGGATATGAGTGAGATCAGTTAATCGCTCAAACATATGTTCAAAAATCTTTACTTTGTGTGCAAAGGAGGCATACCGCAAGCATACTCCAAATTCTTAATAACTGTTTTATGTTCCTCCAAAGAGGAATGATATTTATCAGTTTTCAGTAGATCATAAAAAAGGAAAAATCCTCCCGGACGCAAAATCCGATTTACTTCTTGTAATGCTGGTTTCAGATCTTCCAAATATTTCAACGCATAAACCTGAAAAAATACATGGGAACTTCGGCTGCAATTTCCCGGTGCACTTTCTGCACCAATAAATTGCTGTGGGATAAAATAATAAATTGATTGAATATTGCGATAGAATTTTCAATAAAGGCAAAAAATATAATTCAGAGGATCAGAGCGATCACTTGATAATTCTGTGGGTACCAATGTATGCTAACAATGCTTTTAACTCAAAGATTCTTTTAATTGTCTGAAGCAACACATGTTATTTTATTAAGTGTAATAATCAGAATTTTAAAAATAGCCCCGTATTCCCCTATCAAAACAGACAGAATATTCTTGATTCAGCTTACCGCATATGCACAATCATAACGACTATCCACTAATGGTAGACAGCAATAGTTCCCCTGCACAATGTAGCAATTTTCGAGACCTTCATTCTGGAAGCGTTTGTTCCCAATTACTACCTCGTTTCCTGCTATTGTCACTCCAGTTAAGTCAGCTCCAGTAATAGCTAAATCATGCATAACACCACCTATGCCACATCCAATATCTACACATTTTTTACCTAAAATTAAACTTTGTGATCGGTTTAACAAATCACTATAGTCATATTAAGTACCCATGTAAAACTCCTCAAGTATATGTGATACCTTTGGTAAGTTTCAAACAGTGACCAATTCGCTCATGAAGTTCTTTTAGTGCATCTGCCAGTGATTGCTGTTTACGCCGAGGCGGTGCAAAATGAAAATTCCCATTAAAGTATTCATCGATGAGGGTAGACATGACGGAATAGTAATGCGTCGTAACCAACGAATAGTCCGACTTTGCCTTCGCTTCTCTATACAATCGATCATGTTCTTCAGCAAACGTTTCCTAAATTTCAAATGCATCATCTTATCATCACAAACGGCAAGGTTAAAATCTTAAAGAACATTTGGATATTTCGAAAAATCAAGAAATCATAAAGCGTTCCAATACCTATACTGAAAGCATCTTCTTTACTTTGCCTTATTCCGAATTCAATTATTTCTCCAACATTTTATCTCTGGTCTAAATACATGGCGAACATGCAAAGATGGAATTTTTATTTATTGACAGATAATTCCAATTAACTTTGTGTTAGTGACAGAATGAATATCGAAAATACACTTACATTATAAATAACTAATCCAGGAAATTGAACAACTAGTCCAGGAAGTTGTGTAACAAAATAACTAATCCAGAAAATTGTGTAACAAAAAAGAGATAAATAACTAATCGAGGAAATTATGTAACAAAAAAAATCATTTGAATATTTAAAACTTTCTCTAAAATGCATTTTATTAAGGATCAAAAACAGTTTGAATGAATGAGAATGATTGAAAGGAAATAAAGTGACAGTATCAATGATTGTACATTCGATACCGTAAATTTTCCGAGTGATCGTTCATTTTTGGATTGAAGCTTAGCAATCCTTCGCATCTCGAATGTAAGCATAGCTCTTAACAGAAGAATCCTTTTATATGTCATGTAAACCTATAAAGTCAAATCACTCTAATTCAAAACCTCAAATATTTAAATTACACAAAACGTCCACCTGAAAAAAAATTCTTCAAGATAGAGAGAACAAAATATAGATATTGAAAAACTTAGTTACATTTCTTATGGAAGAATATTAGAATATCGTCCATTCATTCCATTCATTCATTTCTTGAAACACTTTTGCCAATTAATCTTTACGACTCTCCATTTTGATTTAAACGATTCTACCAACAAACTTTCGCCTCAGAAATGAGATTTTAGATTAGAAGATAGCGGAAGCATGTAAGAAAAATGAGATTAGAAGATAACAGAAACATCAACCAATGAAAACCTACAACCATCTCGTTACTAAGCGCCTCTTCATAAGAAATTATATAATTGTGCTTCCATTTGTTGACTTTATAAAAATTTGAAAGTGTCTTCAGAGCTCATATACCAAGACTTAAGAAAATCTTAAGTTATCGGTGGTTAAGCAAGTAAATGATTCCATGCATACATTCAAACTGTCAAAGGATTTGAAATCCCAACGCAACACGGAAGACAATAAACTAAAAAACCTCTAAAGATCTTCCAAAATCCACCATTTTCAAAGAAACCATGGAGTGCTTTACTTGACAGAAAAAAAGCAAGTTACCAAATCTTCTCGTCGAAAATGTCGTAATAATTTGAAAAACTTCGATGTTAAATCAATCGACATGATGAACAGAATGTTATACCACGGAATGATCGTTCTTCTACAACTAAGGGGATTTGGTGGAGTAATCATGAAATCGGCATCGATATGGCATCGCAACACTGTCATGATTGTACAGTCCTACCCCTTTATCACTATGCAAAAACAAGGACAAAAACTATGGGGGACGCGCAAACACATATGCACACACCCACACACACATACACACATACACAATCTATAATCTGTAAGAAATGTTACAACTGTGACATAAATTTTTGTACAAAATAGTGGCGCAAAGGAAACACGAGAAAATCATACTTTTAATTTCTCATCACCTTCTAATCTTCAAAAAGCAAAATAACGATGGAACTCGCTTAGTTCATTCGATAAAATTTTATAAAGTAGCAGAAATTATTTCAAGATGACATTGAAGATAAGAAACATTGCTTAAAGCAATCGATCGCACGAAATGAATAGATGTTTTCTTTTATCAACGTATGTATATGTATACTAAAGCAAGAAAATTCAATTTTCACAAGTTGAAACAGTAAATTTCCTTTCTTGAACATATTCTCTTTATAATCTATATATTATTAAAAATGTGATTCGGATGAATATACATTCCTGAGTGCAACGTGTATACTGTATACATATCTTTAGAATACCAATTTAAGTTCGAAAGCAGTAAAAATGATCACTTTCTCTTAATTGTTTGCGTTGGAAAGAGGTAAACGAAGGATCAGTGTTCTGGTGAGCGCAGCAGCACGGACACTACTGTAACCCTGAAAAAAAAATTATTTGTATGTAATTATAAAAGCAGTTAATTAACCTTCTAATACCGCAATTTCTTTTCTGATTTACATAAATTCAATTAAAACCCACATTTGCACAACTATTAATCAATTTTAATCGCACAATTATAATTCTAGAAACCAAACTCTTTCTAAGGTTCATTCTAAGGATTAAATGTTAAGGGTTAAGGATTGAGTGAACAGAAGTGTTGGAGGAAATACAGGGAAATAAAAATTTATAAATCAAATTCCCTACCTGCCACATACGACTAGCGCGGCTTTGTCCATGTTGATAATCAGCAATACCACGGATTAGTGCCCAACTATCAATTCGTGAGCCATTTATCGCAGCAATAACGGAATCGAAGCCAGCATCAATCGCACGCAAATTATGATTTGCGGCAAATTTGTCACGAAATTGAGCTGTAGCACCACTTGTATCTTCACCAACCTCAAATAAATTGCTCTAAGGACTTATCGACAACCTTTCCCCTATCTCATTTTTTTTCAAGTCGTTGTCTAATTATTTTTCTCTTCTTTCTTCAAACAACTCGTTTAAAATAAATTCTACTCTGAATAGACAGGTTTGCCTACTAGAATACTGATTTATGAGTTTTAAGATAAAATTATGAACATGCTGGAATGCAGAGAAACGAAAAACAGGAGCAAAATAATGGCTAGACCTGATATCCAAGGGAAACATTTAAAGCAAATTTTCGAAGATTACCTGTTCTTCATTAGCAAATGTCTGCTTTCTATACGAAACCATTGCCCCAATGGAACCAACATGAACTACTGCGTTAACTCTTTCTGAATTCGGATGTGGAATGACAACTACCTGCCCACCACCTGGAACAAAAATGAATTCATTCCAAATCTCGAGTGCTGCCAGACATGACCAATATGTCTTCATTTTCACAATTTCAGAACTTGAAAAATTCTCTTTTTTCAGAAACTACATACAATATTCATCATGATTTGAAATCATATTATCTCTCTGCAACTTATCTCACCTACTGGTACAGCTAATAGATCTGCTTGAGGTGGTGGTCTTGAAAAACTCATGTCGCCATTGGCAGCATCCAAATGATCAATGGTTGTTTTCGTTATCGAATTCCATTCTGCCATCATTTTGTCGTCCCTGAAAAATTGCGAGAGAAACGGATTAATTTCGCTTATCTTATAAAAATAATTACAAGTATTTGGCAATCTTTCACTGCTTATTTAGTGATCGCTTCATTTGCTTAGTCGAAATTCGTTATTTTTAGCTTCTCAAACGTTCATTACAAAAGTAAGTCTTACATATTTTTAGCGATATGAGTAATGATTGCATCTTGAGGATTCCAATTTCGAACTAAGAAGCCATTCACATGCTCTGTCGCTCTATCAACAGTGTAGGCATGAGCAAACACATAAGAATTCGGATCCGGACCACTGACAACGACGTCACCAAGACGTACGTGCCGTGTAGCATCCGTGTAATGAGCAACACCTCCACCAACACCAACAATAAATACATGCTCAACATGTTGAAAGTTACCAAGAAGACGAGTAGTGATAGAGCCCGCAGATGTTGTTGCTTCACGACTATCACCTATAAATCAGTATTGCCGAACATACATAAAAATGAAACTTCAATAATCATTGAGCATCAGGGCTATCACACAACATCCTGTCTGCAATATTTCACGAAAGCAAGCGAGGAGAGGCAATAGTAAAAAGGCGAAGTGGAAGAGGAATACAAAAGGTTAGATTTTAGACTCTGAAAAAAATTTAACAAGAGAAAAATCTATCACATCTATTTTTGAAGAATCTATCACAAACAAGTGAACGAAACCCTTTACCACAGTGGTAATTTATATCCTTACCACTGCTGTAATGTGCCGTCGGATCGTCAAGGATGACGACATTAACAGGTTCCTGAAACTTTCAACTATTGTTACTTTTCTCTGTTGAACTGATCGTCGCTTTTTTTACAACCTAAGTCTTTAAACTCCTCGCTCTATGAGTAACGATTGAAACATGACAATTTATTACCAAAACTTACAAATCGAACTAAAGAATGAACAAAATACATACCAATAACAGCCAATTTCGTCGCAACAACTCGATGTTTTCCGATCCATCCAAGGGTGTAAATATTAGAGTCACCACCAGATCGATAACGATGAACGGTCGTACTATTATCAATGATCGCATCAATGCTCTGTTTTTCAGCAAACAAACAAGTCAAGATAGCGACTGTGGGATGATCACGAAGACCGAAACTGCTTTGAGTTCGAGACAATTCAACTACAAGAATGGAAGAAGAATAAAATCAGAAAGTTGAACAATTTATTACTGCTCATCCGAACCCTTTCGGCTTAAAATTACGTGATCATATTCAAAATTAGAACTGACAATGTGCTCGATGATCATATAATCAGCGTAGTGATTTGTTTTTATTCGTGGAAATCCATTTAGCTGAGAAAATAATGCAGGCTCTAAAAATCTTATGCATTAAAAAACTTACTGCTGTCAACAGCACTCACACGAATCCATTCATTCTGCAACTTTTGCACAACACCAAGTGCTTCTAGTTCATGGAGAAATTCATTAACTTCCTTGTCCGTGCAACGCAGAGATCTAAAATTTGAAAATCTGATTAGTAAATTTATTTATGAAACAACAAGATAAAACATAAGTATACGGTTAATGGAGAAATGTTTTACCAAACGTGAGATAATGTTAATTCTTTTAACTCCTTTATCTCGAATAACACATAGATAATCTTATATTTATAATTTTAAGGGACTCGGCGAGAATGCAATAATCTAAAAAGATGGGACTATTAAAAAATTGAACTACTTTTAAAATATCGTCCATAACTTACTCCGCAATAATATCCACAGATAAGCCATTTGGATATGCATGTTCCAGAACTTCTTGTACGTGAGCTATGGTAACGTTCTCAACTTCCGAACCAGAATCTAGGATGAAATTTAATGAAACGGAACGGCAATAATTGATTTTGACCTAACATGAATCTGCTGACAAAAAAGATAACTTACTACTTGATGATCAATCAAAATATAAAAACATTTTAAAGAATCGAGAAGATTGCCTAAACAAATATTTACCAATAATTTGTTAGTAAAAAAAGAAAACTCTCAATAAACAAACTTTTTAATATATTTCCAAACTATTTTGCATGAAACCCTTATGCATTATAACCTACCATACTGCTTAGGATCAGGCATCTGATATGTTTCATTTTCTTTCGCAAATTGCATATCAATTTCGATCTCTCGCAATGCACCGTAATCGTTTTGCATAAGCTTCAAAATTCGTTTCAGAAATGTCACATAATCTAAAATCTACTTCGAATCGATTTATTTTTTTTCAAAACATCAAAATGAAGCTCTCGATTTTCGATTTTATTGGTCATATCTAGCAAAAGTGGTCCGAACCGCGAGATTATTTCGAAGTTTTAATAGCAGTGCTATTTATTCAGATGACGCTACAACAGTATTTATATAAAGTTATAGTCTCCATTTCTTTTTAAAAAGTAAAATTACCTCTTGGAAAAATAGCAACAAGATCCCGGAAGAACTGCTGAGCTATAGCATGCTTGTCAGCACTTTCGGTATCTTCGAAGAATCGGAAACGAAAGCAGCGGTTTTCCTGAAAAAGAGTTTCTTCCATTTTAAAACAATTAGAGATTTAGAGATCTTTACGTTACCATAAACAGAAATATATTTCCTTATTAATGCAAAAATTTCATATATACAAAAAGGCAGAGAAAAATAATTATAATTTTAAGAATTCGGCATAATTCGGTACAGCTTACATTGTACCACGATTTTTTTTTAATTTCCAAAGCAAAGAAAAAGGTACTAAAATGAAAACATTCATACATTTAAATGTAAGTTAAAAAAGCTAAATAAATTAAAGAAAGCATGCATATAAAGAAATGAATCAGAAATCTAAAAACAAAAAACAATTGCTATTTGGAACCAAAAACTAATAATAATAAAAACTAATAAAAATAAAAACTAATAAAAAACTAATAATAGTCAATAAGTAATAACCATTTATAACATATGAAACTTAACCTGTTTCTTCATATCTCCATCTCGCAGCCATACAGAAAAATTGAGCGCTACATCACATTTTAAGTCTAAAATATAAATAATTAAGCTCCTCCGACCATACAAGAAGCTGTAAAAGTGAGACTATAATGCTCAGTGGTCTTTCTTCCACATTATGTATAAGTTAAGTAACAAAAAATTAGACAAACTTGGTTTTCCATCGGTAAGCCTATTGATAACAATGCCAGTGTGTTCTCCACCTGCAACATGCAGTATTCGATTGTTTTCAACATCGACGTTCCTGAAAATTTTCAAAAATTCAATTAAGATCAAAACATCTCATACAAAACATAAAACAGCATAAATCAAGAAGATATAAGCGTAAGACAACAAATGCAATGGAAAGTGCACCTTTTAGAAAAAATTTGAGACAGATAAATAAGCACTAAAGCATTTTTTTCCTTTTTTTCTTAATATTCGCTATTTTCCATCATTATATTATACGTGCCATCATTTAGATAGCTATGTTTCAACAGAAGGCTCCAAAATTCTCAGATTTAAAAGACGTAGTTAAGGAGATAATCACTAAGTTTTCTATTTTTGAAGAACATGGGAAACATTTACACTTCCCAATGGATGACGTATCGTCATTCCGTCTTCTTCTCTTATTCAAATGATAAGAAAAACTGCCAATTCTTTTTTTTCATGTTTATGGAAGTCTTTTCCCCTAATGACTGAATAAAACAATACTCTTTCCATTTCACCTATAAATGGAAAAAAAATAATCTTATTTTTCGATCCGTGTAAAGCTTAGTGCATAGTCCAACAATGTAGTAATATCTTTCTTTCTTTACTCATAAAAATGAAAAAAGAAATTACTGCGAGGTGTTTTTCAGAGATAAACCTTCTCATTCCCTAATTTCAGGAAGGGACAAAGTCGGAAATTTTCCTATCAAAAACTCAAGTGAAAAAGTGAATAGTGAATAATATAGGTAATTATCACTTGAAGCTGATCATTTGACAATCGCTTGAAGCTCGACCAGACTAGTTTTCATATTATGCTTATCTTCACCTCATTCTCATCAGATCAGAGGTTTTAATACAGCTCCGAAAACTTTCCTATTATTTCATTAACTAGAAATTTTATTTTTTAACTCGTCTTATATTTTCCTTTTTTCAGCATCAATATAAGAATACTTACCGTGAAATAAGCACCACATTATGTTCTGGACCTTGTACAAGCGGTGAAAGTACCACAAGTCCACCGGAATGCGGTACTTTCGTTGCCACCATTTTTCGAAATAATCGCCACCGTGAACCAAAAAAGCTTCTCTCACGTACTGCAACACTTCTGGAAAGTGATCTGAAAAATGACGGGAGAAGGAGTCTGGTTTATCGACGCATACATTTCCTGAGTCCTGTTCTATAATCCAGCTATATTTAAGTTCAAATGCATCTGTTCGAATGAACCCACACCTAAAGTTCATAGTTAGTTTGAACTCCACTTGATGTGGCTAGTTCAGGTATCAAATATTCTAAAACACTAAGAAATATTGCTCATGATATTAAACGGCAATAAAAATCATCCGAACGGGTGAAATTATAACCAAAAAAATACGAACTAAATCCGAAAAATGAAGTGAAAAAAGGCTGGGGCCCATGCTCCCACTTGTTTTACTTCCTGAGCTATCTCGAATTACTAGGTTACTTCCGCAACATATGCTTTTAAAAATTATGCTTGAAATCTTTCTAAGTCGGACAATTTTATTCTTCAGTCAAGTAAGAATACATCCGAAGTAAGCTAAAGCTATGCATAATTTCTCTCGGGGAAAACTTGAGCCTGAGTGGAATTTCGAACCAACTCCAATTCTGAAGCAAAATTGACCTGATCGCTGATGCAAGTAAAGAGGTCACATACCGCATACACGACTAGTTGCTACTTCATTCAGTGTTAACAAATTTTAAGCAAAAGTTATTGAATCGGCACTTAATTTAAACTGAACTTCAGAAAACAAAAAATATTTAAGAATCGTTAATGAAAAACAGCAATTACTGCTAACAAAAAAGAAACCTCCGCAAAAATTGTGACAGCGATTGTACTCTGTTACAAAACCAACCAGTTTTATGGAATAAAAAAAGAGAGATGAATCATATAGACAGACGAGTAAAGACTTCATTAAGTAAGAATAATCATAAATAAAGTGGTTTATAAATTCATGCAAATTTTATCTAGATTCAGTGTAATCCATTTATTTCATGTTCTATAATTTAGATGTGTACTTGAGTGTTCTTATCTCTGTTAACAGCTATGTCTTGGCATGTTTGTCAAAAGTTTAGGAATACGTGAGCGTTAAATCTTTTTCCTGAAGCTTTATCAGGAAAATGGGAACATCTTTGTAATTAAAAGTATTCCTAAACTTTTGAATTTCTCTTAGCAAGCAAAAACACTAACGATCCTCATTTTGCAATATATATATAAATCAAAAGAAAAATCTTTAATGTCAAATAAATGAAACGAAGCGATATGTTTTATAAATGAATCTGAGAAGGATTAGAACTTGAAAATGGAATACAATTAAATCTGACAAAAAAAGAAGGAAATTAGAAATAATTTGTTGTTTATATTCCAAGTGATAGCACTAACACCCCTTTCATGCAGTAGAATTTGAATCGAAATTTACCTAATAGAAATCAAAAGCTTTCTACGAAGAGTAGAATTCGAAGTTTAATGAAGTATTTCATGATATGTGCTTATTGTGGACATTTATACTTTCCCACTCATAAATTAAATTCTGCTAAATGGAATTGTAAAACAAAACACATTTAATATGTTACTCCTTCATCTATTCTTCTGAACATTTTAAAATTTTCATTGGAACCAGCCTCCTCCCCCCTTTCCCTTCATTATTTCTTTTTCCTGAAAAAACGAAAAAATTCCTTAACAAAAAAGAAGTCTGACAAATGTCTAAGAGGAAGAAGAGATCAATATTATCATCATCATTAACGGTTAAACGATTGTACCAATTTGAAGGTTACTGTATGAAATAAATGAATGATGAAAGAGAGGGTTCCAGACGATTTCAAATTTCATGAATGATTGATACCATTCCTCCAAACTCTTTTATTCATTCACTAATCACAAGGTATGCACTATTACATCGCGATATCACTCATTATCATTTAATTTTAAAAATAGCAATGTCGGAAGTGCAATTGTTAAATAATCTTTTTTTTTATAGATCTTATCATATTTGAAGGATAAGATCTTTTTAATGAATAATGGAACGATGGAACATTTAAAAGTGTCGGTACCCGAAATAACTTTATAATATAAAAATATTTACATAATCAAAGTACTGTTCGTAAAATTTATGTTATAGAAATTTTTCCTCTCNGATAAGATCTTTTTAATGAATAATGGAACGATGGAACATTTAAAAGTGTCGGTACCCGAAATAACTTTATAATATAAAAATATTTACATAATCAAAGTACTGTTCGTAAAATTTATGTTATAGAAATTTTTCCTCTCAAATATTCGCAGTGAAATGATTTGTTTAATATCTCAATTCATTATTCTAAAGAATTATATAAATGATTTACATGAAATAGTTCCCTTTTTATCATCGATTTTATCTATTTATTGTATGCTCAAAAAATTCTTGTGTTTGAATAATCAAAGTAGCTCTACTGTGGAAAATTCTTTTATCGTTTAGCCAATTCATACCATAAAGATTACTCATCAATGTTTCTCAAATCAAGTTCATTTAGTTTGCTTTGTATCTAAAGGATACATTAAAATACTTTTTTCGCCAGTAATTGAAAATATTAACTACCTTTGATTACATAGCTCTCTTCGTCTTCATAAAGACATTAAATAATGCGGCTCAATTTAGTGGGAACATTGTCATAATTTACACCAGAAATACATGATCGGTTCTTACCAGCATACTACAAAATAGATTGTAGTATGCTGGTAAGAGCCGATCATGTAGTATGCGATTGACTCTGCCTGATATTCTCTGATATTATTTTATAACATCAGGAAGAATAAATTCATCTTCCCCAAGAATAAACCTCTCTAACAATCTTTGTCTGCGAGACAACAAACTTCTCAAATCAAAAGCTTCACAAGAAGAAGTGTCCCATTGTCCATTTTTACTATTATTATTACTCTTTAATCGCCGAATCATTCTAGTTATCAGTATAATGCCTTCAAGACTGCAGAGATGCAGTCCATTACGATCATCCTCATGTTCAGAAGATAAACGCGTCCTATCTTTGCAAGACTGTGAAAATAATTCTAATTATTGGAAGATGAAAGAATAAAATGTTACCCTGAAGAAGGATCACCGATGATCAAATAAGCAAAGATTAAAAATAATTTCTTCCTAAAGCTCATATCAAATTGCGCGGCGTTAGGATAGGAAAAAACACTTCAACATAGAGCTACAGCTTGTGTAAAGAAAAGATTTAAAGACAATCTCGATATTTCGGAAGGAAAAATCAGTGGAGAGATAATCAGATCACCATACTAGTAAAATATTATATCTAAGTGATGTAGTTCGGAATTCCTCCCACATGAAGCTTTTTTCCAATCATTTCATCTATTCTCTTCGGATGGCAGTTCACATATGACTAATAATGATTCATTCATTAAATTTTCTCATTTAAAGATGAAATCAATAATTAGTAAATGATGAAAAGTTTTTTATTGATGAGCTTTAAATTTTATTTTTTTGAAAATAGTTCTATGAGAAAAGAGTTAGATAGAAAGGTTACTCCTGAAATAGGACAAGAAAAGTGCTTTGATGAAAATGTTTTGAATAAAATAAAAGTCTCAGATAAAAGACTAATTTGTTACTTGATGCAGTTATATGCTTGAATAACTTCAGCTTTTCGCATATGGGATATTTTATAATTTGAAAAAACAAAAGAAATTAATAGGGGGAATGTCAAGAATCGTACATTTGAAAGATTTGGAACGTTCATTTTGGAAAAGTACGCTTATCTTCTGTTAGGCAATTTTCAAAAATTTAAAATACGAAAGCAAATTTCTCTAGAATAGGGAGCATTTAAAAATTGTCGCGGATAGTTTCCTTATTTGTTTTAGAAAAAGGTAAAAGTATAATTGTTAATACTTTAGAAAAGTTCATAGAACTATATGGATCGTTATCATTCGATTTTCCCATCATCTTTAAATGAAAATAGTTAAAATGAATGAATTAATCAGAACAGAAGTGGGAAATAAATTTGATAATTAAAGATACAATATTATCAGATGTTAATTGTTGCCGGAAACATCAATGATTTAATCTTAACTGAGCTAACCTTTTCCCCTATAATTACTGACCTTCCGATCACTATCGAATTATTTACATGAGATAACAGATGTATGTTAAACTTCCCATCTTCACCGTATAATGCCATTTCAGCTAATACATTCATCTGTTTTACACTAACTTCCACATTCGCTTACAGTCTCTCAAAATAAGAAAAAAAGATCGATATTACAGCAATACAAATTTTTATTGATTCATCGAAACTGAAAGTGAAGTTAATTGAAAATTGAATTCGAAATGGAAATGAATCAAAAGTGACATATTCATGCCAATTGAACATATCACTGATTAATTACATCGTGGAGAAAGAGTGCCTATGCATTTTTCAAAGTGACTTCTTCAAATTCAAATTTCAATTTTATTATGCTTACAATGAAATAATTAGTGGATGAAGTTAATGAGATATCTTAATTGCCAAATTGTTTAGAATAACTTGACAAGTTGGCAACTTAATTAATTACAATGGATTAAATTCCGAAATTTAACAGGGGAAGACAAACACAGAGATGTATTTCTGGAAATTTTCTGCAACAAAAATTTAGAAATAATATGAACTAATTACAGTTCTTTTTTACTAAATCAAATGAAAGTAATTTCGAAATTATTTATTTAAAATTGGACAATATGTCAAAGGGAAAATAGAAAAAGTTAATGTGATAGTTGATGAAAAGAACGTAAAATATAATAATATAATCAGACTTACAACAAAAGTAAAAAGATGTAAGTAAAGAGGAAATTGATTGAATCATAGATAGTTGAACTGATCGAATGATCGAAACAATTTCAGACATTTTCAACTAAAATGAAAAATCAATATTGAAAAAGATAGAGGATATATATACATATATATATATATATATATACATGATAATTTATTACTTAGCACGAATTAATAACTTTTTAAAATGTTTGAGAAGAAGACTGAAGGCATTTTTGAAAAAGTGAAATAAA